ATTTTACATTGCAACATGGAAATTTCTGTTTCAGAACTTTAAATTTGTTCCATTATCAACCGATGTTAGGTAACTTTTGATCAAAATTTTTAGAAAAAAAAAAAAAAAAAGTCATTTTCATCAAGTTATCTAACATTGCTTGATAATAGAACAAATTTAAAGTTCCGAAACAGAAATTTCTGTGTTGTGATGTAAAATATTTTTTAAATAAAAATATTATTAATATATATGTGTATATATATACATATAATGAATACAACAGACAAGAAATAGTTTGTAAATTTTTTCTTTTTTACTCTGAGTAACCCTTGGAGTCTTAGTGGCATTACTGCCTTGCTTGGGGTAAAATGATTTAAAAAAAAAGAAAAAGTAATCTCTCCTGGTTTTCAAACAAAGAAATGATCGTTTCAATGCTATACAGAAATTGCCAGTAGTTTTTATATCTGGTTCTAGCATTTTCAACCATTTTCAGGTTATCTTCAAGATCAAAAAATGGGAGTTTTTTTTTTCAGATGATGAACTCAAACTGATGTTATATTGAGAATATTATTGTTGAAGAATTTTACATCAGATGTTATTGGAAAAATAAAATAAAACCATTGGTTACATTGCCTGTATATTTCACCCTGGAACATAGATTTTGAAAAACTTTTATTATAACTGCTTCAAGAATTTGGAATCTGCAGTTAATGTTGTATAAGATGTGAATATTATTCACTATCATGGAGATTATACTGGTAAGAATATAATGCTTTTTAAGATGATATTTTTGCATTTTGATCATATAACTGTTAAGTTACTCTGTGAGAGAGTGTTGGGCAGCATGACCAATATAAATAGTATTTTTTTGCAAACTTCTATTGGACATAAGAATTCATATATTATGTTAATTTTGCAGGCTGTTTTTCTGAAATGATTTGATATTTTTAATTTTTCATAATATATTTTTTCAGTGACATATATTGATGCACAAATTCTTAAGCTATAACAGTTTAACAGAAATGCTAATACAATGTTAGTTTGAGTGCATTTTCTGACAAATAACCTCTTTTTTTTCTAAGTATGACTAGAAAAATGGCTGAAAATTCTTGAAGCAACAATAAAAACAATAGGCAATTTCTGCATAGTCAGGAACCAACTATTTGTTCCCTTGTATTAAAAACAGAAGAAACTCCAAAAAATAAATATCCTTTCTGTCTGAATTTCTGGAATGAGATCCTTATTTAGTTTAAGATAAGGATATTAGTCAGAATGTAAATAAAATATTCCTTGATTGTCATATTCAGTCATCAGCACCTACTCACATTGAGATCATCCTCTCTCCTTATTACCTTTTTCTCTCCTAGTGGCGGTGGCAAAGATGGCGGTGAAGGCCCAGCCTATTTTTGAAGAGTCATGAGCAGGAAGTGTGAGTGGTGGACACGGATGGGCGAGTTGAGCCCTCCTGACAGATGTCACAGATCCTCTTTATATTCAGTAATAGCTGTTGAAAAGAAAAATTGCATTTCACACACACAAACACACTGCATTTTTAAAATATTAACTATTTAAATGTAATTCAGTTCTCTTCAAGATTAAAGAGAGTCATTGTCTTCTACCGGAATTAAGATTTTTTTTTTTTTTTGGTTAATTTCAGCTTGTGGGGAGAATGATATTTTCCACTTTAAAAAAAAAAATTTCTAGTTAACACTATGTAAAAATCAATGTAGATCATGGAATCTATTGAAACATTCTTCAACAACATAACACTTTTGAGGTGACTCATTTATGAATTCACAAAGACTATAAATAACTACAGGTATTGCCCATGAGGCAGTTGAGTGCATACTACTTCCTGCAAGTAGGTAACACTACACATCAATTTTCATTATATTAATTAAAATCTTCGTCAGATAAAGATGTATCTATTTATTACAGAATAAATTATCAATAGGAAGCAAACTGGGTCTTTTATTAAGTTTTTTGTGGGAACAGCCTCTAGTTATTTCTCCATTGGCATTTGCCAATATTTCCCTTAAAGTCAAAGGCATTTTTTTAACAATGCTGTTTATCATGTACAAGGCTCGAGAGCCACTTGAGGTACAGAGTTACAGAGTAAGAAGCACAGTTTATGGTGATATGTGGGGAAGATGACAGTTGACACTAGGCTTGAATAGGTTAAGATTGTAGCAATTGGGGAAGCATATTCTTGGGAGTTGGTTCCACTGTAGTGGTTATGGAAAGTTGCTACATTTCATATGAAAGAAATGACAATGGTTTGCTACAATGTGTGTGGTTTGGTGGGGGTCTTAGCTGTGAAGGTTAGAACAGGTAGAGCTAAGGAATGTAGTTTGTCTGAACACTTTCGTAAAATTGAAGAAATAGCAATAGAGCAGTGAAAGAATTGCGACATTTTGTCTGTGGCAAAGGGGTCGCAAAGTGGAAAATAATTTATTACCCACAAGGATGTGGAGATGCTTTTGGACTCTGTTGAAACCAGAAAGTGAAGACTGGGTAGCTTTACCCAATATATGGCAACAGTACACCATTTTCAGCCTGATCTGGCTCTTGTAAAGAGGATAGCAGAAGGAGTTGGATACTTACTGAAGTGGTACAAAGGACCAACCATTTTTCCAGCATCTTTACCAATGTATCGTATGTACAAGTTCTCAATAAGCACTCAAGACATAGGCTCAACCATTCATTGCAATCAGTGAAATTCTCGGCCTGTTTGGTGATGATGGAACATCACTAGTTTAATTTTTAAGGCATTGAATGTGACCAGCCAGTTTTTCCTCCATTGAGCTGTTAGAGATAGATCAGAGGAGAGATCAGCTGCCAAGCTATGGTCATCTAGAGTTTTAGAGGTGCACCCATATACTGTTGTATCATCAGCATAGATATTTACAAATGATCAGAGTAGTCTCTTAGGCAGATCATTTATGTAAAGTAGAAATCGGGTAGGACCGAATACCAAACCTCAGTAGACACCTGCATTTATTGCTTGGGCCTAAGAGGAATGGCCGTTAACTACATTCAGGGACCTACTTATTAGACTTTATGATTGAAAAAGACTCTTCCAGTGATTCCATTGCTAGAAAGCTTGTAACCCTTTATGTCACACCTTTAAAAAGCCTTTGAAATATCTAGTGCCTCACCAATTCTGTTAGTTATGACAGAATATCAGCAGTGGACCAAGCCAATTGAAATCCATAGTATTTGTTGTTCAAGAAGTAGTCTCTATTGAGGTGATCAATAACCTTCTTGTTGATTATAGCTTCAAAAAGTTTGCTAATAACACAAAGGAGGTTGATAGGTTTATAGTGTAATGAGAAGGACCACCCATCTGCATTCTTTTAATTTGCTTTCAAGCAGCGGTAACAATTTAGTAGAAATTAATGAACTATTGAAATTATAGTAAAAGAGAAAAAAAATTATCTTGATACTTCACAAAATCTTTTATGACAGCTCTGATAAAAGCCTGAATACCTTTTCTTTTGGTACTACTGAAGAAGATCCTTCAGTAGTAGTCTTGTCCGGTCATTAAAATAAAATAAGGAAACTTTTTGGTAATTTTTGTTGACTTGCATTCATTATACCTTTCTTATGACATTTGTCAGAATAAAAAACATTGCTTTTTATCTTTTTTAAATCTTTTTTTTTAGAAAATAGCATTCTGTTCATAATACATTGTCAAATCAATTTCTTATTTTTTAAAAAGTTGTCTTTTCTGTTTTTATTCATTTTATTTTTATTTATCAAGCTTGAAACTGTACCCATGTTGCTGATAATGCATCGATGCTACTGATGTTGTCTTTTCTCTAATTAGGGATTTTCTTCCTGGGAGGTGGCTCTTGGCTTCATAAGAGTCACTTGTACAAACATTGGGCAGCAATAAATATTCATCTTAAATGCTGAACTCTACCTGACCAATAACTTTTATAACTTAAAAGATTTTTTATTTGCCTGCTTTTAATATTTTAAATAATTTTACATTTGTTGCACAATGAATTGCTCCTTTTAAATATTTTCTTAAAATAATTAAAAATAAAAATGTATATATCCATGTTCTTCATTTAAGATAAATCTGCTTCACAAAAATTGGAAAAAAGGGCAACTCCAATTATATGAATTAAACCATGATGTGAGCCCATTTGTAAATAAAAAGTAGGTAAAAGTAACTCCTAAAAAAAAGAAAAAAAAAAAAGAAAAAGCAAGCAAACATCAGGGGTTAATTTGACACTATTTATATTATGAACAGAAACCCTCTTTCAAAAAGTACTTTTTTTGGATTTTGATAAATGTCACAGGTAGAAGCTCTAATGAATGCTAATTAACAAAAATTTGTTACAAAAAAAAAAAAAAAAAATAAATTCCTATTTCTTTTTACTAGCTGACCAATTTCCCTCAGTACTTTTATTTTTACAGACATCATATTACCATCATATTTAACAATAGAGTTCAATAAAATTTTTTTATTTTTTTTTGATGCTCCACACTCGGTGTTAAAAAAATTTGTCTCCAACCTAAAATAATTTTTTTTCCTTTTTAGTTATTCATATTTTCAATTTATGGATTTAAAAAGGCCCAAATCTCCTGTTAAAAATTTTTTTGCTAAAAAAAAAAAAACACAACAGTTTTTGTTGTTAGTTTTTCTTTTCTATGATAGAAATAAAATTGTATCTTTTGATATTAGAAAACATTTCACTGTGATAAAATTTTCAAGAAATGTCCTTTTGAACACAACGTCTTCCATCTAAAGTGTGAGAATTGAAAATATGAAGATTGTTATAATTTATGATCTTTTTCATTATCAGGAATGGTTTGAAAAATAATGAAAAGTAATCCTTAAAAATTAAGAAAAGAACTTGATACAAAGACTCAAGGTAGTTATTTTTTTTAAGTTAATTTTCATAATCTTTTTTTTAATTTATTACATTGAAATAATTGAATCAGAGCATATTTAAAAAAAAAACAAAAAAAAAAAACAAAAAAGAAAAATACAGATCAAAAGCCAAATTCTAAGCCATATCAACAGTCCAACTTTCATCCGTCTCTTCTGAATCATATTCTTCTAACAATTGGGAGATAGATTTTGGTACCAGCACCTCATAACTGCCATCTGTCTCTTGTCCATCTGTGTCTGAATAACTATCAGATGGTTCATAGCTGGCATCATCAGAGTCGGCCTGCTCCATGGTATATTCAGACTGGTGAGAGTGTCGCCTATCCCGGAATGTTTGGCTGCCACCAACTGCAGTGTCTGTGGCACTAACACTAGACAAAGTCCTTTCTTCAACAACACGTATATCATTTGCATCTGGCTGGATGTTAAGTTGCCACTCGCGAGTAGATCTTCTCTGGCTTCGTCGTGTTCTGCCACCCGAAGAAGAGACAGATTGACGGCCAGAGTTTAGCATTAACCGGGGACTGTAGGTACAAGCAGCAGCAGGTAGGGTGTTAGAGGTGATGCTAGGAGTCACGATGGCTGTGGTGGGCACTGTAGGCGTACTCACAGTTGCAGGGTAACGATTGCAGCGGTGACGCTTTGGTAGAGATTGACCAGGGGATTCGCGAACATTTATCACAGATAAGTCTACTCGGTTGCGTATGGCTGCTGTGGGAACAGTTTGGGATGAGGAATTGTAATTGGAATAGTCACGTGTCCGGCGTCGCTTCCCAAGTGTTCGAGTCTCTGTGGACGAAGAATTGGACCGTTTCGGACACCGGTTGACATGCATGCTACTAAGTGTACGCTGTGAGGACGAAGTGTAATGGCTTGAAATGTCAGTTTGCATCAGTCTTTCATTGAATGTCTTTGATTCTCCAGTGCCGGCAGAGTTGACTTGTAGATAACCCTGGGTGACTCTCGAGTTGTAAGAGGCTCTTGTGGACAATATTGTCTTATGAACATCTGTGATTTCTGAAGAGGAGCTCATACGGCCTATGTCCTGGTTGGGTTCAATTTTAATTGATACACTGGATGCAGGGCAATCGGTTTCCGTGTTGTCAAACAAAACATGCTGGGAGAAACGCAAAGATTCTTTCTCTGCTTGGAGAAATCGTGTGAGATTATGCTGACCAGATATTGCAACTGGCTCTGAATTCATTTCAATGTACCGTTGCCGGTGTTGGTACATAGCTGTTTGAGAGGAAGGTCTTTCTAAATGTTCTACAGAAGAGTTATTATTTGGTGCTGATTTATTTGAGGTGCATATGTGAGTAATACTTACTTCATTTACTTCTGTGTTTTCAGTATTGTTTGTTGTACTGTTTTCAACAGGATGAGCAGAGTTTGAAGACTCCAAAACACATACAATGTGATTCTCATTATTATTATCATTATTATTGTCCTCATCATCCTCCTCCTCTGCTGGAGAGCTTGGATAATCAGATACAGCCAGACGATACAGTGTGTTACTTCCATTATCATTATCATCATCACCATCATCATTCTCATCACTGCCATCACCATCCTCCTCACTTAGAATACGGCTATTTTCTGAATGGGTATTATTGCTTGAGGTTCTGCGAGCTGTATTTTCTGCAGTTGAGGAGGGGAAGGTAACACCAGTGTCCAATACTAATTCAACATCACGATTGGCTTCATCATCACTCAAGTCAGAGAACATAACAACATTGTGTTCATACATTTCACTGTCCGAGTCATGAAAGGGTGTAGAAGACAAAACTGGTGAGTACTGGACTGATGTAACGGAAGGAGAGGATATATAATTTGAAGAGAGATAGTTTTCTTCAGAGCGTTGAAGAAAAGAATCGCCATCAGCTGCATTGACACTGACATTATCCGATTCTGGAACTGTTTCGGAACGATGGTCGTTTGCATTCTCTGTTGACTGATTAGCATTGCTGTGGTGTTCTGACCATAGCTCGGCTGATTCATCATACAAGTTCCTTAGGTTGTTCGAGGTTTCAGCTTCATCGACTGCGGACTCAGAGTGGACATTTGCCAGCAGGGATGACTGAATGGAAGAAGAGACATCACTTGGAACATCATCATAATCATCGTCATCATCGTCATCTTCCTCATCATCTTCATCAGATTCAAATATTCCGTTATCGCTGACATTGTCATAGTTGTACTCAGCAGCTGAGTTGTTTCCATCTTCAGAGTCAGCGACATAAGAAACATCTAATTCTCGATCAGTCAAAGTGTAACCATCATCGGTACCAGTGCTTCCACTAACGGTTTCAGCAGCAATACTTGGAGAGATAGACTCCGCACGAACACTAGCTTCCTGATCCAAATTCATGGACAAATAAGAGCTTACAGGTAGGGAGTACCTATCTCTGTTCATAGTATCTAGAGATTCCTGCATTTGACTACCAAATGTGCTTCGAGAAGCAGAAACATCATCACTTCGTCTCTGGCCCCGTCTGCTTTCAACATTAGGTTGTGTGCGACCATCATCTTGCAGCAAAGAAAGGGAATTGTTGTTTGAAGTAGAATTGAATTCAGAGTTAAAGATGATGTTTGCTTCATTCTGTATGTGACTGACCTCGCTGGTGATACGATCAACGGCATTGGCATAAAATTCAAAATAGTTGCTTATGACAGAAAGTCGAGCATCAGTGTTATCCCCGCCTCTTGGAACAACACTGATTGGAGTGATGTCTTCATCTTCTTCATATGAGGAGAAAAGACCTGACATGCTCTCACCACGAAGAGGTGTACTGCGATCTATGTTGCGCAGTAAATTCTCAACTTTCTTCTTCAGCAAATCTTTCAGTGAGACCAGCTCTTGAATCTTCTTCAGGTATTCTTCAATCAATTTCTGTTGCTCTGAAAAATAAAGAAATAAAAGATACATGATGGTATTTATGATGCTTTTTTTCTCAATCATTCCACCCTAAGCAAGGCAATAAAGCCATTAAGATGCAAAAAAAAACAACAAAACACTATTAAGTAGAGAGAACAATACAAGAATGGGAATTAAGAAGACAGAAGATAACCATTGACATTGCATTTGATTTTTGAAGATCAAATTTGACAGGGAAGCAAGAAGCCGGAAGAGACTTCCACAAGTGAGAAGTGCAAGAGAAGAAACTGTTAGCATAGAATTTACGGTTACATCTAGCCATTTCAAATATAAAATGATTAGACCTTGCTGCCAACCTACACAGTGCCCAGTAAAAAAGTGGCCAACTTATTCTTCGAGAAAATAGACCCGCTCTAATTGGTCCATCTCAGTGGCCCTCTAAAAGGTTATTGTTCAGTTTGAAATTTCCTGAAGGTTAACCAGACTGACAGACACTTAAAGGCCAAAGGGCACAACAGTGAAAATATGATAACAACAAAGTCGAGATCATTAGTTCAACTGAAAATAATAGATTCTCATCCCAGTTCTTTTATCACTTATAATTTGTACATTTCACTTTTCATAAAAAAAACCCAAAAACATGAAACCCCCATTATCCAGTAGACAAACTTGACATATTTTATTAATATATTTTTATAAATTCAATATTTGTTGCAGATCTATCCTGACCATTTATACTCTTGAACAACCATGAAAGGAGCATGCTACTGAAAGAATGTTTACCAAAAGACTGACCAAACATTCTGCATTCTGATGCTCTCAGAAGCAGATTTCTTCAGCTTTTTACAAACTTTGATACAAGCATGTTGCTCAAATTTGTCAGTCATTACTAAACCTGCATAATAAATGCTTAGCACAGAGCCTAGTGGCAAACTGACTCAGTAGACTGAGTAACAATGAACATTATCTGGATGTGTAGTTCCAGTGAATCATATCACATGTACAAGAATTTCCTGATATTACCTTATACAGTAAATTTAATCAATATAAATTTTTTTTTAAATAATGATAATATATTTTAATTAAAATATGTTTCATTTAATTTTATAATTTTCCCTTTACATAGAAAATATTTTATTATTAAAACATATAACCTAACAAATAAAGTTTTGTCTGAATTTCTGGAATTAAGAGTTATCATTATTTACATGTGACTCTTCCTAGTGGATATAGTCAGCCCACTAACAGGGAAGACCTCATCATATATTAGGAACTCAGAACATATGGAATTGATCTGAGAAGCTCCAATATATATAGCAATTGGATGGTAAGCTTGAATTCTAATCATTGTTTTTTTAAATCAATAAACATTGCCAAGTAGTGAAGGTAGTTGAAATAATAGCAGTGACAATGGAAAACTGTTGCACTCTGTTTTTTTTTTTGTGGGCATGAAGGTAAAAAAATACTAGATTTTTAAGATAGAATATTTTCATAATAAATCCATTGGACAAGGACCAGAGTATCGAATCAATGCAGCTTCTGAATTAATAAATTCCATACTATTCTTATCCCATAACAGTTCCTACATTTAATATATGAAATCTGTCCCATAGCAGTTATATTTGTAAATAAAAACAAAATCAAAAGGTAAACTCAGTGAAAATAAAATTGATTATTTTTGTGCCAAGAGTTATTAATTTTGAGAAACATTTAAATTACAATTTTTTTTTTCACATTTGAGAATTTTTAGCATTTGATACATTGACCACCATAGATCAATTTAGAAATCTGACTTCAAACACCAACTTTATAATAGCCAATTTAGTCAACAGAAAAATTTTATGAGTTGATTTATAGCTTCAACTGAAGTCTTAACATTGTTTTCATGCTAAAAGTATCATTGTGAATAAACTTGTTTGTGCCTGCAGATGAAAATGTATCAGAAAAGGCAACTCATGATTGGTGTCATGATAAAAACTGCTAACCACAAGTTATCTCGTGGTTGGCTGTCACTGTGTTAAAATAGCATCAGGATTGCATTATGCAGTTAGGGTTCAATCTTTAGAACATTGAAAATATATTGAAACAATGTATTTCAAGTATCATTTCAGATTTTGCCTGATGTGCTCTTAAGTTTCTAATCATTGTACATATCTGCTAGGATATAGAAACATACCAAGGGTAGTTTTGAAAATTTCAATTTTTACTTAAATTTGAACAATAGATATCAACATGCCATTTTAAGTTGAACAATTTACTTGCCCAGTTTAAAGAGAAAAAACATGAAACTGTCACAAAGACACATGAACATAAACTTTAATAAGTGTTGCCAAGAATGAAAAGAGAGGCAAATATAAAAACTATTATGGGACAGAAATGATAATATTTCTTAAAATGGTTGAACATTAATAGTGAATTTAATCCTCACTGGGTGCCCCAGACAAAATTTGACATTAAATAATCGAACAGGAGTTTAAATATTTTAGAATCAACTAACCAACAATCAGCATGTAGTAATGGTTAGCAAGGCTAGTCTGGTTGATCTTTACTACTAAGTAGTGAGTTTGATCCTCATTGGGTGCCCTATACCAAATTTGACATTATATAACCCAACAAGGGTTGATATGTTGTAAAATTAATTACCCAACAACTCACCTATAAAGTAATGGTCAGCAAGCTTGCTTTATAAGCCACCATGTTTATTAATGAGTGCTCCACTACTGTGGCCTTGTGTCAGACTAACCTTATATATCTTCATTTTCTTTGTTAGCAGTCAGTAACACATGAATAAATCTGCTTAGAGCAATATATTCTAAATACTGTTTTTTGGGGGGGGTTGGAACAAAAATATTTTACAATGTGGGAAAAAATATATATTTCTGGCAAGTATTCGTTGCTTCCCTGTGCCTTTTCTATAAATATTTTTATGGCAATTGTTCAAATGAGCTTTACTCTTTGTTACTTTGACTTCATGAATTTAAACATAGTACTAGATTGGCAGCTAGGTCCCATCATTTTACTGTTGAAATTGCTAAATGTAACTGTAAATTCTATCCTAATATTTTCTTCTCTCACAATTCTCACCTGCGGAAACCTTCTAGCTTCTTGCTTTCCTGTCAACTACAATCTTCAAAAACTTAAATGTAATGTCAACTGTCATTTTCTGCCTTTTTTTTAATCTGTTCTTTTATTGTCCTTTCTCCTTGCTAACGTTTTCTCATTTTATTTTTTCACTCTAAGTAACCTCTTGTATCTTAGAGCCTTTATCACCTAGCTTGGGGTGAAATGATTAAAGTAAAAAAAGAAGAAAAAAAAAAAAAAAAGAAAAATTTCTTAAAATGAGTAAAGACTCAGTTTTGTTGGATTTATCATCAAAAACAATATACTTACTTTCAGACTTTTGCTTTAAAGCTATCATACAGTTGTGAAAATTCAGGTCATTAATTGGTATTTTAAGATGACATCCCTTGTTGCATGTCACCTCCCGAAATTCACAAATGTTGTTCACATGTTGCGAGAGATCCTTCCGTAGGAGACTCACATTACAGCCAACATTTGGACACTGCAACAACTTGAAATCACACTTCTGTATATGAGCATCATAAATTTCCAGCACCAGTTTCTGCTCACAACCATTGCTACGGTAATCACAATACATCACCAGTTTGTTGATCATGTTCTGAACCAAGGGGAGGACATTCTGTAGGTCCCGCTTGGACAGCCATGTTCGGCATGTCGGGCAACTGTTGTGGTCATTAAGCCACTGCTCAATGCATACTTTGCAAAAGACGTGCCGACATGGGCTCTCCTTGGCGTTGTCCAAGACACATTGGCAGATACAGCAGATAAGCTCTGGGTCTGGAGGTGGGTGGAACTTTTCCACATCATACCGGGACATCTTGTTTCTTTTAATTAAAAGTTGTCACACTAGAGAAAAAAAAGGAAAAAGAAAATCATATTATTTGGCAAACATTAAAAGTTAAAAGCTTTTACCTTATCTATTTTCTTTTACTTCATGAAAGATTAATTCAAATGTAGAGTTTAGTTTAGTAAAGATATTTTTTGTAATTATTTTCTCTTCATGAAATTCAACATAGTTAATGTTGCAGACAAACCTATAAAAGCATATATATATATATATATATATATATATATATATATATATATATATATATATATATATATATATATATGTGTGTGTGTTTTCATAATAACTATAACAGTAGTGTGAAAATATAAAAAAGAAAATGAATCAATATAAATATCATCTTAAAACTACAAAAATTTGAGTCATTATATACCAAAGAACGAGACTCAAATTAAAAATAAATTGTCCACCAACTTTTAAAAAATGCTATATCCTTTCAATTGATTGATTCATTTTCTACAGCTTATCAACCCTTTGAAGATTATTTAAACCCAGACAATATTTTTAGATTGTAAGAATTTTTTTTGAGCAATAATAATGATTTAGTAATAGAAGTATTATACTAATTAACTCATAGCTGGGGAGAGAAGAGGTGGATGCAAATATCCCTTTCCCAGGGATATTTGCATGTAAATGAATATAATGAACCCAACTAGAATTGGAACTCAGCTTTCTGATTAATGATTCCAACCCATTATCCATTACACCATCCACACATCCAAGCTTACAGCAGATGGTATTCCAAAGCAGTCATCCATCTAGGTACTGATGAGGCTTGACATTGTTTAACTTTGGTGAACTTAAATCAGTTTAGAGAACCTTTTTGCCTTCCATCAGCATGACTGATGCTGATTTCCAGGAGAATGACTCATTGTGTCCTCTCTTGCTAATATTTTCCAATGACATGAAGTGGAAAGATTAGATTGAATGAATTGCTAGATCTGCTGCTAGAAAAGTTGGTTCACTTTGTCATGCCAGACAATTTTTCTCACCAGAATCTTACACATGGTTTGTGCTTCTGTTATGTATTTAGAAATTCTCGATAAAATACAAAGAAGAATATGCAATGTCATCAGTCCTGATTTGGAATTGTGGCTCTAGTCACTTTCCCACCACTATAACCTATCTTCCCTGTGACATTTCTATAAATATTTTCATAGTAATTGTTCTGATGAGCTATCATCTTGAGTACCTAAACTTTATGAATTTAAGTGCAGTACTAGATTGGCAGCAAGGTCTCACCATTTTACAGTTGAAATGGCTAAATTTAACCATAAATTCTATGCTAATAATTTTTTTCTCTTGCACTTCTTGCTTGTGGAACTCTGTTCCAGCTTCTTGTTTTTCAGTCAACTTTCAATTATTATCTTCTGTCTTAATTCCTGTTCTTTTGTTGCTCTCTCTTAATGTTTTCTTTTTCTCATATTCTTTCACTCTCAGTAACCTTGCATCTTATTGGCTTTATTGCCTTGCTTGGGGTGAAATGATTCACGAAAAAAAAAATTCAAACATTTCTTAGAGGGAGTTACATCCCTTCTATCATCAGACTTATAGTGTGTAGTAAAATTTTTTAAAATATACTTAGCAAGTATTTCATTATTAACCTGCAAATTTCTTATCTACCACAGATAAGATACAATTGTACAGTCATCATCAGTCACATGATCAGGTGTAAGTGTAGTGTCGGTGAGCAACTGACAAGTTTACTCTATATATCTGGGTTGAAAGCTGGAGGGGTATTCATTCATATGAAGTGTGTCTTGGGCATGGAAACCTGGCAGAGCCTCTCCAGGTCAAACCATAGCTGATGTTCTCCAACTTGAAGGTTTGCCTTGGTCATGGACATGTGGCCGTCGATTCTATTTGGGGCACTGAGACCAGGCCATTGACTTCAGTCTAGGAAGCCCTCTGCACCAGCAATGTCATGTTATCACCATACTGGCTGCATACAATACTATGAAACCCAGTTTTTCCTCATTAGGGTAGATGGCTGTTGACCTTACAAGAATGCTATTTTGCCAAACAGGAAAAAATAAAATAAAACAAAACAAGAATTTGTATTCTTTAAATATATGCCACTTTTAAAAAGGAACATGTAAATTTTTTTACAACATGGAGCATTTTTACAGCATGAGCAAAATCTATGCCTATTTTAAAGTCTGAAATCCCGTTGAATATGAGTAACAGATAGTGTTAAGAGATGTTTTACAGAAAAAGAAGTTATGAATCAAAATTAAATTCATATATTAAAAATATATATTGAATAAATGAACATACAGTCATTGAAAGTAGTTTAAGTAAAGCCATTGGTGTTTTTAATGATGTAGATATGTCCATCATGAGAAGCTAAAAATGATAGTTAAAGGGTTGCCATTCAGTATATCAGTACACCCAATTGATTCGAATTCTGAGATTTCCTTATCTGAGACTGGTTGGCCAGAGAAGAATCCACTCTGAACTGTTATTTAACCCTGAGGGAGAGGGATAAAATATGGACTCATGCCCTTTCCAAGGCTTTTTTGACAATCAGAATATGAACTAGACTAACGAATCCTAATTTCCATACTACAATATTTACATCGCATGGAAAATAACTACCTAGAGATAAATAATCTTTCCCTTTTCAAATAAATTTAGCAATAAATATGTGGGAAAGAACATAAAATTCTAAATTTAATATTAAAATAAAACAATTATACTTAAAACGTCTCCTTCAGGTTGTGGGTGATCATAGTTTTGCCAAGCTTCCTACCTTTTGTTGCTCTCAGCTATATTTGTTCTTTTATGATCCCCTCCCCCTTTTGTCTTTTTTTCTTTTTATATTTCTCCGTCCTGGGTAAGACGATAAACTACGTCCAACAGCAAGGCCTCTGATCAGGAGGCTTTGAGGAGCATGGATCCACCTCTTAATTGCTGGCATTCCCAGGTCCACCCTGATCTGGGGTGGTAGCACCTGTTAGAGTTCAAGCTATGGGCAAATAGTTGACACCAAACTTGTGTAAAAATAGGTTTTAATACCAGAAATACTTTGTAATAAAAAAAAACAAAAACATTACCAGCAATAATTTTTGAAGGAAAAATTATCATCAGCAATAATTTAAAAAAAAAGTACCAGCAATACAAACAGCTATACATTCTTTGAAAAAAAATATGACCAGATATAAATTTCTTCAAGGAAAAATATTCCCAGAAATAGATTTTTGAAGAAAAACATTAGCAGCAATAAAAATTTTGTCAGCATTAAATAACCCATTGAGGTTGATATGCTGTAAAACAAACCAAACTTTCTACATTTCTCTGTGAATTTTGACCTATGTATCATATCTCTTCAGAACATTGGTGATCATAATTCTCCACAGCTTCCTGTCTTTTGTTGCTCTCAGCAATACTTGCTGGTATTTATGAGCCATCTTTGTTTTTGTGATATTTATTTCTCTATCCATTTGTTCAAACTTTTTAAACAGGATCTTTCTTTCCAGAACACAGTAGATAATGGTTCTCCACAACTGTTTTTTCTTGTTCTCATCAATGCTTTTTCAATTGTGACCACCCCACTTTGTGTTTCTCAATCCATTTGCGCAAACTTTCTGAATGTTACTTTCTGATTTTGTTTCCCACACCTCAAGTCCTGTGAGTGTTAAATTCTCAAATCTTCTTTCCACATTATGTGGTGCCTGAAAACATTTCTGTTACCTCTTTCTAATTGTTACCACCGGTTTCTTATTGTTAAAACTTTTTCATTTATTGCATGTTCTCCCCATGTTATTCTCAAAATCTTGGCTGCCTCAAAACGTTTCATTTGTGATAAAATTATCCAGCATTTACTGCGATATGAAAAGATAGACATAACAGTTCAGCACTTGTTTTTATTTTTATTTTTTTTACATTTCTAACACTATTTTTGATTCTATTAATGCCATAGAGAAATATTGAAGGATGCAATATTAGAAAAACAATGTTGATTTCACTTTCCTTTTATAATATCATCTCTAGTATGCAATTATGATCAAAATTTTGAAAAATATATCATCACAAACTCATGTTTCAATACACAAATGATCCATTAGTTTGTCAGAATCATACTAACTAGATTAAGTATCAGATACAATTGGCTGTCAGTTTACCTTAATTATTATCCTAGCCTGTTCATCAATACCAGTTAGTTTGTTTCTGTATTTTACACCTGAATGATATAAAAAAGAACTGCTTCTAAATTGAAAGACATTTCCTTTTATGTTGTAGAGTGGCATACAACTGGGATTTTCAAATCCTAGGATTAGTGGAAAGATACAGGAGGGTGGTGAGGAAAAAGGAGGTAAGGAGTGGCAGTATGGCCATAGAACAAAATCATTTTTTCTTTTACAAATCACTTACACTTAAGGAACATGTATGTTTTATGAAGAATAAAATTAATATGAGTTATATATGAATGAACTGTTTTATTTCATGGTTTCCTAAAGTTAACAGTCCAAATATTTGTTTGTATTTAG